AGGTACTACTGATGATATTTACTTTGATCACTTAACCAATATAGTGACAGTGAGATCTCCATGTTGTAAAGTTTATTTTTTTCTTTGAAATTTTGTAAGTAATCTCTGGAAAGATAATTCAAGGTTATATGAATTTATCTTTTACAACAAGTTTTCACACTACAGTTTTGACATGCATTAATGATCCTTATCTGAACTAATTATTGCATCAAATTGCTACATTCTAATTGATTAAAATTTGAAATTATTTGAAGTTTTTCTATTATCTATTTCCTTTCTCCTGGTTTGGGAGTCATGCATAGTTTCCTTTTTCTTTTCTCTTTCTTTTCCTTCCTTTCCTCTTTCGTTTTCTTCTTCCTTTTCTATGATTACTCTTGAGTCATTCACAGAAGTACATGACTTTACATAATCTAAATGGATTTTCTCTATCCACCTATCCCCAACATAAAAGGGCCTTATAAATCATACTTTATTCACTTCCTGTTATGTTACTTTATCTAAATTTAGCTGTGCTTTTTAAAATTTAATATTTTTAAATTTTTATCAAAATATAAGAATGTAGTTTGAAAATTCAGGTTATTTCTGCAAAACTCGTAACATGAGCAGGTGTAGTTGTTTTTTAATTTTCTCTTCCATCTTGCCTTTACCCCTTTGTTTTTGCTTACCAGAGGCAACACGTTTCCCCTTACCTCATTTTTCTCCTGTTGTTTGCTTCCATCTGTCTAAATAATATGCCTATCCTGTATTTTATAGTTGAAATTTTGTATATTATCTGTCAACTTTCTACTATGAAAGGTGACAATTTGGCTCTTTTGTTAATTTTCCTCCCAGTTACTTTCCCATAAAGCTATGTAACAATTGTTTATGTTTCTGGGAGTTAACAATTATTAAATATAGATACAGCACTTACTACTCTGTAACAGATAATGGAGTAGGCAATTTAAGATGCAGAAATAAAAATTCAGTTCAAGATCAAGGAACTTACAATGTAAAAAGTAATATAAAAAATTAGTTAATAGAAACTAACTCTGCAATATAATGATTATTGTGATAGAAGTCAGTACAGGAGGTAAGAGAATGAAACATAGATGTCAAGGAATTTAGTCTAGGTTTTCACATTCTTTAACACATAGGTGTTCATTATACACCCTTATTTTTAGAAAACCCTACCACCGTAAGATATGTTCTCTTTTTCATTCTACATTTAATTAATTTCCAGTTTTTTCTTGTTCACTCATCAGACTTTTATCTATGTTATTAATTTTTACAAATAAACAGAGTTTGATAGGAATATATCTTATTGTCTTTTTTGTTCTTACTTTCCTGACTTTCAGAATTATGTTTCTTTCTTCTCTGAGTATGGTCAGTTTCTCCCAAAGTTTGTGTTGACTATTTAGCTTATTTGCTCCAAATCTTTCTTATTTTCTGATTAATGTAATTCATAGCTTTCAGTTTTGCTTTAACATTTTACTGTCTCACAAATTTGCACATGGGCTTTTCATTACTATTTAGTTTTAAGTATTTTGTGAGAAACATTTTTCTCATTTTCTTCTGTAATCTAAAGATAAATTGATAGTATACTTTTTAATTTTTAGACATGTAATATTTAGTTTTATGTTGTTATTAATCTATAATTTTATTACATATGGTAAGAGTGTATGGTTCACGTGTTAACTCTTTGGAACTTATTGGGGTTTCCCTTGCCTTAAACATAGCATTTTTGTTAGTGATTTATGTATGCTTTAAACAATCTGTATTTTCTATTTGCTGGATAGGAAGTTCTTGATAGAGCCACTGTCTTAACTTTATTAATTAATCATACTTTTAAAATTTTCTAAGGTTTTGCTTGTCTGTTTCATCTATCTGTTTCTGAGAGAATATCATAAATTTTCAATTACAATGATTGTTTTTATAAATTTGAATTTTAAGCTAACCACAGAAAAGTACAGACATGTAAGTGTGCTGCCCAGTGAGTTATCATCAAGTTAAAACACTCAGGTTGTCACTACTCAGGCTATAAAACAGCACATTACCCAGACCCTGGAATTGCCTTTGTGCCCCCTCTCAGTCACTTGAATCCACTTATTCCCAAAGAGAGGTATTAGAATTTCCACACCATAGAGTCATGTTGCTTGTTTTTAAACATTATGCAAATTAAATCATATGGTATGTGTTTTGTTTGTAACTGTCTTCCAACATCTGTGAGTCATTCATATTGCTGTAAATAGCTAATAATTCTTTTTTATTGTCTTGTAGTATTTTGCTGAATAAATACAACAATACATGTAGCCATTCTACTGTTTCTGGATATTCATGTTATTTTCAGAATTGGCTATTATAAATAAAGATAATATGAATACCTTCATCCATGTCTTTTGGTACATGATGTCTTGTATTTTTATCAGGTATATTCCTAAGAGTGGGGAATTGCTGGTCAGAGTATGTGGATATTTAGCTTCAGCAGATATTACCAAACAACTTTGCCTAATGAATGCAACAATGTACATTCCACAGCAGAGTATAAAAGCTCAAGTTGGCCACACTCTTACCATTCCTGGTATTGTCAGTCATTCTCATGGGAACTACTGTGATGCTGTGAATTAACATCCTCTTGTGGTTTTAGTTACTCAAATGACTAATGGATGTAATGACTGATACTGTTTAGCAATTTTTAATAAATGCATTGGCCATTTTATCAAGTATTTGTTCAAATTTCTTGCCAATTTTCTATCAGTTGTCTTTTTGCTATTGATTTATAGAAATTTATTATTTATCCTGGGTATGAGATCTTTGTCAGTTACAAATACTTTCTTTCACTTTTTAGTTCTCTTTTACAATTTCCTAATCATGTCATATAATGAACTGAGACTCCTGAATGTAATATATTCCAATGCATTTTTCTTTTATAGTTAGAAACCTATGTGTCCCTGTTAAGAAATTCCTGCTTACACTAAGGAATGTCTTCTATGTTTTCTTCTAGATCAGCACTGTCCATTAGTTACATGTTATCCATAAATTTGAAGTACATATGTATGGATAATTTTAATTTTTAAGTAGCCACATTAAAAATAGAATTAAACAGGTAAAATTAATATGAATAATAAAATAATTAAGGAGATTAAAAAAATAAGATTTTAAATCTCAGTGGATATTTTACTTATAGCACATCCCAGTTTGGACTAGCCACATTTCATGTGCTGATAGCCACATGTGTCCAGTGGCTACCATAATCATATATCATATCAACTTAGTTTAGAAGCCTTAATGACATGCCATTTACATTTAACTCTACCATCCACATGCAATTGTTTTTTGTGTGTGGCATGAGGTAGCATACCTAGCAAGAAAACTAAGCAAGCTACAGAATTAATGGAAGATCTTCAGGATCCAGAGCCAATATGGGTCCCTTAGGAATTAAAGGCCTCTTCTATCTCCATTATGTGCATTATGTGCATTACTCAGGAGAATTATGTGTGTGGAAGGACATATAAGTGGACAAGGAGAAACTGAAGGGGAGGAATCTTCCTTTAGCTTCCTTTTTCAGGATTTCCAACAAGAATGAATGAAGAAAACTACCCAGTTTTACTTTTTGAAAGACAACAGGTGGGAAACAAGTACTTATTTTAGCTATATAAAACTCCTGACTTGGTATACCCATAGCAAGTTATGTACAGTTTAGGTAAATAACATAAAAGGGACATTATTTGAATGGCAGACCACTGATGTGGTATAATTTGCTCAGTTGCCAACATGATAGAAAATGATTCTGACCTTCTTTGTGCTTTCTTTCCTAGAGTCTGTTTCTTTCTTGTTATCATCTTGAGCACCACCATCCCCCACGCCAACCTCTTACACACATGCTTTTTGTTTGTTGTTTCTGTTCAGGCATTTGGAAGCATATTTAATGGTGTTTGCAAATATAGACCCAGGGTAATGATAATATCCAGTTCTCACTGAATTCAAAACTACCTATAACCATGGCCAAAAGTGATATCTAAGATTTCTTTTCTTTTATATTTGGTTTATAGATACTTGATTAAGAATGTTAGTAGGGTTTAAAAATGTTTTACCTTTCTGTTTCAAAGTAAACATTTTAATCTTAGCTTATATTCCTCATTTTAAATTTATAATTTTAACAATTGTTCATGCATTTTAGAAAAATAATCATGCATAATATCTTCTTCCACAACTATTAATCTGTGTATTCCTTTTCAAGTTTATGCTATTTACATGTTTTTATGTCATTATAATTATTACTTAATCTTGAAATTAGATTTTTTTGGTTACTTGATAGAACATACAAATGAGGAATATATATATATATATTTTTACTTAGTTTTGGAGATCTCCTAGTGTTGAGAATCAGTAAATGAATATTTTCTGGAGTCACTGTGACTGAAATTTGTCACATTCAGATGGTGATTTTTAAATACTGGTTTGTTACGGGTAGTGATAAGAAATAATTTGTATCTTTAAATGTTGAGTAAGGCTCACAATTGTTATGTCTGTGATAGCAGCTACACAGAATCATTCTAGCTTTATAAATATTAGATTTGACTCTGTTGCTTGGAAACCCAAAATAAAAAAAAATAAGAAGCAAACATATTATGAAATGTAAGTGTTTTGGTTATAAACAACAATGCAGCTTTGGGTTACATTCTATTATTAAAACAGTTGTGTGTAAAATGTTTTATACACAAGTTAAAGAAAAAAGAAACTCTTTAAAATGTAATGGTCATTTCCTGTTTCATTTTTCATTTTGTTTTCACGTGAAGAGCTTTTGTCCCTCACTAGGAGTTGCTGTAAATCTCTGGGAAGGTCTGTTCCGAATCTACTACTTCTGGATTGGTTAAGATCTCTTTTAAGTGTGTGCTTTGTTCTCTGAAAAGCTTAGGTCAGTTGAGCAATATGCTGCTAATGTTAAAAAAAAAAAAAAAAGAGCTGAGTAATGCTGGAGCCTCCTCATGTGGCTGATGCAAACCTGGAGAATTTGCATCATCATTTAGCTGGAGTAAGTTGGTGTGACAGGCAGGAGCTTAAATACCAGCCCATGAGGAAGCTGAGCTGGTCTGTAATGACAGGGCGCCAGCAGCAGCCGCAGCCGAGTCTGAGGAGGTGGAGGAACCGAGAGCCATGAACACACAGGTGTTTCTGAGGAGGAATTAGATAGCTGTGAGGGAGAAAATACATCTTCGAGTTTTTACCTGTGAACACAATAGCACTGAGGGAGACAATCTGAAAGCAAAGAGGAAGAGATCTGGTCAGTCACACCAAGATACACACCAAAAGTTGAAAGTTTGGGGTTTTTATTTTTTTTCCTTTGTTTCATTTTTCCCCTGTGTGTCACTACAATGGTCAGAAAGCCTGTTGTGCCCACCATCTCTAATGGAGGTTACCTGCAGGGGAATGTCAACAGGAGGCTGCCCTCCCTGGGTGGCAAGGAGCCGCCTGGGCAAGAGAAGGTGGTGCTGAAGAAGAAAATCACTTTGCTGAGGGGCATCTCCATCATCATAGGCACAATCATCGGAGCAGGGATCTTCATCTCTCCTAAGGGCGTGCTCCAGAACACGGGCAGCGTGGGCATGTCTCTGCTTATCTGGACAGTCTGTGGGGTCCTGTCACTATTTGGTGAGTGCAGCTTCTTCCCTGGGGGCGCGTCTGCGGAGCTGGACTGTTGGCTTTCTGGGAAAGCAAACGGTAATTTGTAAGGAGTGAATGAAGGACAAAGGCTATACCAGATTTTCTGATTTTTGTTTAGGTATGTGAACCACCAAACAGTGTCCGCTGTTGGCAGGGTCCTGAATTCCATCAGATTTCTTCCTGCAGGCTCTACTCTTTTTACCTGACTAAAACAGACTGTCCTCTGGCTTTTCCCTGTGGCAATGAGCAAAGGCTAACTTTGATGACCCAGCAAAATACATGCAAACTTTCTGTACCAGGCAGTTGTGTTTAGTTACGTATGATTGAGGCATCTTGGCAGCTGGAATACTGAATGAAACACCTGTGAAGTAAGACCTGGCATGGCCTATTTAGACACAGAACTGACTGTTCAGCAGAAGTTTTACTGACTTTTTTCATGGGCAAAATAAATGGGTGGCAGTCTGTTCCTTTTTAATTATTTTAACTTCATGTGCTTGTCAGTTCTTAATATTCTTTCAAAAGTCCTTGTCATGGGAAGATGTGTGATGGCTCAGTCCTTGTTATAAGTGGGAATACTGCAAGAGTCTGAGCATATTTAAAATGCTGCAGCCTTTCATCTCTCCCCAGTACCTATAAACTCTTGCAATATAAATAAACGGTAAACCTGGAATTGGGTATTAGTCTGCTGTGCTCGCCCAGGTCTGTTTTCTTCATTTACAGGTCACTTTGTTTCCAGGGACACATATAACTGGTACACCTGTTCACTGAGTTAAGCTGAACTGAACTTGTAGAAGCATGATTGTTAATTTTTCTTTAATATTTAGGTCTCTATTGATTTGATAATTAATAGTAAAGGGCTAATAAATGCCACCTCATGAGGTGGGCAAATTACTAGAAACCTACTCAAGTTAGTTGTAAAGGTGACAGAACTGATGAATTATCAAAAATTAAATTTTATTTATACTGTGGGGTTAATGTCTAAGATAAAGTTGCTTTTCTCTGGCAAATATTGTGCGTTAATTTCAAGAGGCGCTATTCTTTCAAGGTACTAAAGCTTTGTCCTAACCCTAGCATCCTGCACATACCAACCCATACGTTCTTATGCTTTGTGACGTTTAAATGCATTCATTTGGGCACTCATCTAGGGAACTTAAATGTCCATTATTAGAAAGAGGGTATTTTAGATAAAACTTGTGGAAACAAAGCCTTAGTTTAGAAAGACCTGTAAAGGAATTATTTTTACGTTTTCAAAGAGAGTTTGTGGTATTCTTTATGGTGTTGGCATGTACATTTATAGAAAAAGATAAGCCTAATTATTGATCTTAAATGACTTTGTGACTCCCAGTCTTTTACAAGCACTTAATATATTCAAAATAAATTAATGTTTAATAAAAAAAAACATTTCCTGGACTTGCATACTAATGTGCATGTAGCTTCCGCTATGTGATTCAATTCTTGTACACAATAGAAAGTTTTTCAGATGTAATAAAATTGATTACTCTGAGCATTGAACTAGTTAAAGTCACATTGACTTTTACAATGAAAACATACTTCTGCTTAAGTATAGCCACTCAAGCAGGAGCTCAGAAAAAACAAAGTTAAAAGGACTAGCTAAGGTTATACTTAGTTTGTATACTTTGATTAGTAATCATTGGGAGTATGTTCCTGCATTAATCTACTTATCTATCTTTACATTGCATTTATCATTTAAGTTACCAGAAGTTTTTTGATAGAAGTGCCTCCCTAACAGGAAGCAAAGCAAAATCGAAGGAAAGAAAAAATCCTTTCTCTTAAAACACTACACCTCTGGTATTAATAGGAAATAATCTGTATATTTGGATTACAGTTATTTTAAAGCCAGGATCAATACATGGATTTTTATAACCTGTTTTGAACTTTTTAATCTGGGTGAAATAGTTACAGAGTTTGAGACCTTTAAATAAAGATATCATTTCTCTAGGATTCAATATAAACCTAGGGTAAACATCCTGGACTTCCAGCAAAACATACACAGGTCCAGGTATTGGCTCTCAGGCAATAAATTCAAGACTCTCTTCCAATAACATTTTATATTGGTTGCCTTTCTATATAGCTTATCAACATGGTGACTAGTTTCCAATAGAGAGTAAATTGTAAGTAATTACAAATAGTTACACACAGACAAACTATATCCATGGTCCCCAAATATCAATTTGCAGACAGGTTACTTTAGAATCATCTGTGCAAATTTTAAAACAACTAGATTTTTCTTAGATCTCTCTAATGGAGAGTCTGGAGTCTCTTGGTTAGAGAGGAAGTCTAGGGTATGGCCTTAGGGAATGTTTTTGGTTTCTTTTTTTAAAATTCTTTCCAGGTGACTTTGAAACAGTGCTAGGTTCAGGAATAGGGTAAGTGATATAAAGATTTCACTGAATATTTAAATTATATTGATGTTGGACAGTTCTGCCTAAAGCTTACTGATTAGTAATAATTTCTCACACTTCAGGTCTCTGAAGTAGTTCAGGCAAAAATTGTGTGTTACATTGGAGTACTTAGCAGTCTGAATATGAAAAGTTTTTTACAATATTAAGATATATTTTTAATTTTCTTGATAGTTGATTGCTCAAATTAATAGGTATAACTGTATTCTGTGAGGTGCTTTCCATGTGTCAGGCCTAGTGCAGTCCCTGATAACCTTATTGCATTTATATGTACAACTCTGAAGAGGTAATAATGAGGATCTCCACTTTATAGAGGATAAAAATGAGGTTTGGGAAGGTTATGTAACTTGCTCAAGTCCATGTGAATAATATTGCTAAATGTTAAAATTTGGTTTATAATTAATTTTACTTAATGTTTCACTTGGTCTCCAGGGACACAGGTAACTTGTCCACCTGTTCACTGAGTTAATCTGATAAAAGATAAAATTTGATGCTATAAAAAATTATAGCATCACTTTTTTAGAAGTATGTTATTTCAACCACCTAGAAATAAACGCTTCAAAAATCTAGGAAAACCTATTCTAGAAATACAGTATCTAAATAAAAATTTATTTAGCTGACAAATAAAACATATCCTACACAATTAAATGAAATCTTGTAAAATTTAGAGCCCATACTTCTCTGAAGAACAGATAAAATTTGTTTATTTTGATGTGTCACGAAATTTTCACTTATTAAAAGGATTCTCAATACATTGAGATCAATTTGGGATAATTCCTTGTGTTGGTGTGAAGTTAATTTCTTCTAAAATCTGTTAGTATTATTGATATCTATCATCTTTTTTCCTTTGTGAGGGTCAAAATTCTCAATAATGTATAATTTTAGAATTTGTCTTTAGCTTTTCATGTAAAATAACATTATTTGAATAGAATGAACTAGAGCTCAAGTGTTAGGAAGTTACGAGAGGAATTTGGTGCCCTTTAGCAATTAGATGAGTTATTTCTCTTGAAACATGGATGGCATTTGGATCAAAAGATACAGTCACATCTCATGCAATATAAATATTGTTGTATCAATTCTACCTTTGAAGGATCTGATAATATTTTAACTTCGTACCTTTTCATTATAACTATTTCACAGGAGCCTTATCTTATGCTGAACTGGGAACAAGTATAAAGAAATCTGGTGGTCATTACACATACATTCTGGAAGTCTTTGGTCCGTTGCCTGCTTTTGTACGAGTCTGGGTGGAACTGCTCATAATACGGTAAGGGCAAACATAGAAAAAAATTAAAGGAAAAATATACCGATTCATCACACCCTTTTTGAAATCACTTTAATTATTTTTAATGAATTAGAAATATGCATGTTGTATGGTTATGTTGTAAATGTCTACTTCAGAACATATAATCTAAGAAATAAAACCTTTCTCAATTAATATTTTTAGTGCAGTTTTGTCACTGGCAGTAGTTTTCCAACCATACTGGACTTCTAAAGTATCTGCTTTTCTTTAATATTCAATTCTTCTTTATGATATTTCTAGAAAAAAAATATTGAACCTAAAGGGATACATCAGGAACACCAAATCTACCTTGATAAGTCATACCTTTTGACTGGCCAAAATTAAATGCTTGGAACTGGAGTTTTCCCTCTTACAGATTATCCCATTAAGTCACTTAACTTTAGTCAGTTTTCAATGGGGAACTTTGTGCCTAACAACTCAGTATGTCACCAAGTTGTGTCCTTTAAAAAAATAAAATTTTATGTAAGTGACTCACTTCCTCATGCTAAACGAATCGGTGAACTACAGTTGTGAAAATCTTTTATTGTATTGTTGTAAGCCTATGTTCCTCTTATTAATTGTCTTGGTCTGAAATTTAACCAGTGAGTGCTAAGTCACTCTGAATAGCAAATTTCCTTTAGCTTTGTGGGAAATATATGATGTCATATAAGCAGTTTAGAGTATCACAGTTCCTTAAGGCTAACTGCTACCGTAAATGGCTTGCACATTCTGATGACAGAATTTAACAGAAACAACTAGAAAAACTTGCTCTTACTGTACGCTTATCACACATACACGTTCTGAGGGCTCCTTTGTGCTTTTGTCCTATCATTGGGAGCTAAGTGACAAATACTGAACTAAGAATTTAAGACTGAATTTAAGACTAATCAGGATTTTTATAGTCCTAGGAATCTCTTTTTTTTTAAACAGAGAGCTTAGAGTAGTATTTACTTTAAGTCTTTTTTCACTTTTAAGCAACTCTATGTTATTTAAAACTTGTTATAATGAAATAATAATGTATAATGTATAATGAAATAATGAAGTAACTCTTCAGAGGTTACTTTGAATCCTATCTTTTCTACAGTTAATTACCCATTCATCCTAGTTTTAGGATTTCTTTCCTGTCTTAGTTTTCCTGAAAAAAGCAGTTACTGCTTCTCTTTTGACATTGGACATGATATCTTCTCTTCTTCCTTACTAGTTTAGGTGTCTGTATTCTGTTTCCCTGCTAAAACTGCAAGCATTTCAAGCACATATGACTAGGTCTCATGCTTTCTGTGATCCTTATACTACTCAATCAATGTCCTGAGTACCATAGATACTAAATTATTTTTGACTAATACTAAATTTTTTCTGGATAATTTAATTCTTTTTGACTGAAAGTTCAAGGTGATAATATTTGAATACCACATATTCAGCATTTAAATGAGTACAATACTTACTTAGATGCTGGCATGCTAGGATGGTGGGTTTTGGAGCCTGATAGAGCCAGACTTGAATCCCTCCTCATCCATGTGATAGTTGTATAGCTTTGGCTAATGTTTTATATTATGATAAGCATGATGATTCTTTGTCATAACACAGAGAGAGTACCCATTCCTTTCATTTGTCAAACCACAAACTGCTATTAAATGGGGCATGGCAAGTTAAAGAGCTCTCAAGTGGAATGAGCCATAGTTCCTGCTACCAAGTAGCTCATAATGAAATGTTACTTTATGGCAAGAGAACTGCTTCATGGTGTGTGTGTGTGTGTGTGTGTGTATGTACGCACATGGTGTGTGTGTTGACAGAGGAAATTACCTAGATGTAGTCTAGAAGCTTTTATAATGGGTTCATAAGTTCCTTTGTAATGATGGTTTCACATTGCTTAGTTGCTCTTTCAAACAGGCAGAATAATGAATGACTCTAGGGGTAACAAGATACCTGGGTACTTAAACATTTCTTTTCTGTCAACAATATCCCTGGCACCTCAATACTTACTATTAAAATTATATATTAGAATAAGTCAATTTTGTCAGAAATTATCTGTAAAATACAGATTTTAAGAAAAGAAATAGCACACATCAGTACATAGCAGTGGTCCTTAGACTGAATTTGCACACTCACCATATGTGCGATATTTATTGGGTTTCTGCTGTATGACAGATACTATACTAAACACTGGGGATAAAATAGTGACTAAGATAGACACAGTCTTGAACTCATGGAACTCAGGGTCCAGTGAGGGAAACAGTTATCAATCAAGAAATCATGTAGTGAATATGAAGTTTCTACTGCAATAAGCACTGTGAAAAGTCAGGCATGAAGTTCAGTCAGAGACCCAGAGAGGGCTGGAAGAGCTTCCTTGGGCAAAAGAAGACTGAACTAAGATATAAGGTATAAAATATGGCCAGTAAGTTGCAGGGACTCCAGGCAAAGTGTATTCAGATCCTCTTAGTAGGATGAAGCACACTGAAGAAAGGAAAGCTTAGACCAGGTTGAGCCTTCACTGAAGGGTTTTTGCATATCTGGAGTATGTTTTAAATGTAGTAAAATGACAGATCAGATTTTAAATTGTATATAAAAATTTATAAATGATGAAGAACGGGAAAAATAGCCTCATTTGGTTGGGAGGAGAAGGTCTCTAGGAAAAGAAGAAATTGAACAAATTATGGTGCATTCTAGTACAAGCAGGCCAATGTTGGCACACACAATGGTGATTGTTTTTCTGACAGTCTAGAGATTGGGCATGGCTGTTGGGTAGCCATGAGAAGGAAGAAAAGCCAGGAGGGATGAACAGCATGAGAAATTAGGCAAGTCCTTGTGTGTATCTAAAGAATATGCATTCATATATACATATATTTAAACTCAAAAGGCAGGTATATTTTCTTGAAGAAATATTTTTCACAGAAGGTTAAAAAAGAATGGTTTGTTACTATTTTGCAATGTACCTAAACTTATTTCATTTTGTCTCCTTCATGTTTTCTCAACTGTGTAAAATTATAAGAGTATTTTTATTTTTCAACTTACATTTTGTTTCTAAATATCTCTATGGAGCTAAGAATAACAAATTTTTGTCTGTACTGGGAAATAATAATACAATGTCAAGGACATACATTTGCAGTGGACACTTATTGATATTGTTTTCTTGTAGTTGAGTTTTGTGTTCATTTTCCTGACCATGCCCCAACCCATTAGATCAGTACCATTTAACATTCATGCTGTGGCCAGAATTTAGTTGTTGACTTATGGAGAAAGAAGACTGCATTTTGCAAGGCCCAGCATTGTCAGGATCTCAAATAATGAACCAGACTTTAAAGAAAGAAAAGTCAAATAGAGGAGAAGAGGGGCAAAACTGTTAGCACCCCATCTTGCTCCCATGCTTATGTCAAGTTTAAAAACTAGCCACCAAAGTCATGGGCAATATTTCATTTGGAATATCTATGACAACCTTATCAAGTATGGAGTTCAGAAAAGAGTAAAGTTTCATATTTAACATGTTCCATATGCTGAATAACAATACCTCAAGGTAGAAAAAGCTCAGTGAAGGTGGTATATATTTTTTTCCTGTAGGTAACCAAAACATACATCTTTTCTAGCCCTGCAGCCACAGCAGTGATATCTCTGGCATTTGGACGCTACATTCTAGAACCATTTTTCATTCAGTGTGAAATTCCTGAACTTGCAATCAAGCTCATTACAGCTGTGGGCATAAGTAAGTATCGTGGGTATGCATATATAAAAGAAAATAACCCCACAAAAATGATAGTGACCAAATGTCTTCAAACTTTTTGTATGGTGGGACTGCTCCCCACATTGTGTTCTTTTTGCTTATAGCTTCTAGCCAAGTTTGTGTTGGAAAATAAAGAAAATAAGGATTTGGAGAGATCCCTAATGCATTATATGCCAGTTTTGCATTGAGTTAATAGATATGATGGCTAATTTTTTAAAATAGGCAAATAAAAGCCAACTTGCTAGTAAAATAGTAAGTGGATTGTACATAAAAAGAGATTTTTACAGATGAAAACCCAATTATGTTACAGATTTTTTGAATTAGACGTTATCCTTCCTCAGTGATGACATGTTGAATTTTAACTCACTTATCCTAATGGAGTGATGTGCATATGTTGGATGTATATGTTGTGTTAGCAGTTGTCACTGTGTTATAGTTTTAGCTGCACATTGATGGTTATGATAAGAGTTTTCTTTCAATATTTGGTTATTAATAGCATTTCTCAAATTGGGTCTGCAAATTAGGAAGTTGTTCATTTTTATCAACAGGCAGATACTAGAAGTCATTTTAAAGAGGAAATAAAATAGAGAAACATGCAGTCTTACATAAGTGATATGAAGCAAAATGTGACCCTAACTTTCTTTGAATCTAGATTCCAAACCTTTGGATATTATGGGAAATAACAATGCTGTTTTAAGATTCAATACAGTCACATTTGGTTAAGTTTGAACTACTCAGAAATAGAAAGCTACACAGGAATAACTGAATTGTATACTCATGAAAGAATTTTTAGTTATGTTACCTAAGGTGTTTCATAAAAATAAAGAGAACAGTGCATATCTGACAGCAAAGAGGTTAGTTTGCAGGAAAAAGTTAAGAATTACACATTCCAACATCTCTAGTGCTAGGTACATGTATTTCTGAACTTAAATAGGTTCATTCTGCATTTCCCACTTTATCCACCACACATATACACTCAGTTGTTCCATGAAGTCTTTGAAGAAAGACAAAGAAGAATACTTTAAACAGACATTTCTGGGTTCTGGAGAGGTAATGGTGAACTTGATTCATCTTGCCCTTAACACACACGACAAGGTAGGGAGACTTGAGGACACATCACTTAAACTTTCTATAATTTAGTATTCTCATCTATAATTCCTGCATAATTTCATGGGGTGTTTTGAGAGGATTAAATGACATTAAATGAGACAATGCATGCATGCAAAGTGTTTTTGGTAATATCTGTAATTTATTAAAAAATTACAAATGGTAGCTATTTCTACTCTTGTGGGAAAACATCATTTGAAGTTCCATGAGACCAAGAGCCTCTCTCTTCACTGCTGTTATTTCCAGCCCTTCTCATAATGTCTAGCATGTTGTTTGTGCTCAATAAATATTTGTTGATGGACTGATTTTTATGAGATGACATCTAAGAATTTTTCTGTATTAGAAAAATCTGTGAAATGTCTGCTTGTTAAACTTGGATTTACACATTAAAGAATATACATGTTCAATTCTCTCAAGCAGTAGGAAAGTGGTGGCAACTGAGGCAGAGTTTGCTCAGTGTGATGTTTAGATCTACACCATGAGCTTCTGTGGCATGAACCATCATAGGCTCCAGAGGCAAAGAACTTGGAATTGAAACTTAGTGTTATTAAAAAATGTCTTAGTTACATGTTTTGGAGCTAAATATTAAACCTTTTTAAGAGTCCCTTTTATTTGTTGGTAACAGACCTATGAAAGCATAAGCTGTTTTGCCCATAGAAAGTTCTTAATAAATCTGTTGTTCCACTAAGGCATTGGACTAACAGTCACTGTTGTATCCAGTATATTCTCTCCCCAAAATGACTGAGGCAAAATCATATCACAATTTACATTTGAAAAGAGAAGGGATAAAGGTGGCATTTTGAGGGCTCTATAAATGGGCAATAGAAATCCCTGATTAAAAGCTATACCCAGAAAAGTTCCGATAGATTTTATGTAAACATTTATAGATCCACAAATATTGCCTGCTTTGGAGTGGAAATGAGTTGCTTAATGGTAACATTACTATTTTGGTAAGTCTACATGTCTCTCTTCTTGTTTATCCCAATTCAGCTTCACTTTTTAAAGGGAAAATTTGTATTTCAGAGGAGTAAATGGAAACTGTTCAAAGCAAAATTTGAAAGCAATTATAGGTAAGGATAACTTAAATATGTTGCAGTTTACAAAGCGCCTATAGTAGGGATTGGTGATAGAATAGTTAACGAAGAGCCTGAGGAAATCTTGGATGAACCTAGCCCTTTCCTTCTATTTTTGCCATTAGTTTACAAATTTTAAAGTTCCTATTGCAAGCTTAAGATTCTGAGAAAATTTGTCCAGAAATACTGAAAGAGAAAACTGAATATTTTTATGACTCAGTGGTAGGTAATGTAAATCAGTGGCCTAAGTGGGAAAGTCAAACTGTCTTTGACAAGAATTTAGCCTTTAATGGAGCAACAGGAAGTGGAGATAGAGATAGAGAAAGATAAATTTACCTGGGAGCAAATCTCTCACATTTTGCATTGTTCAAAATAAGTATAGGTGATTTTTTCTGCCTGATAAGGGTGGGAGGTTAGTGAGATGTAGAAAATAGAGTTTAATTTCATGAACTGCTGCACTGTATCCCCTGGGGAAGGGAACAGTTCGTGGTCGTTAGAAATTTCTAGTTCAAGTGTAGAAGAGCAAAACTGAAGGATCTTTAATCAAATCACAGAAAAAAGAAATTCCAGTTTTGTGAAATGTTAACCATCTGAGAAGTGATAGTGGGGAGTTACTAAATGCTAATGTACTCCCCTCCACCTCTTAAAGATAAGAACCTTAGCAGAGAGGATGAGTCATCAGTTCAGAAGAACTAGGTTTACAAGAGAGATCATAAATGTCTTTTGAGCTACTTCCTCATTGTCACCTGTGAACAAGGGTTGAAGGGTCACCTCTGGAGTTAGCTCGCCTAGGCTGCAATCCTATCTCCAAACTTACCTGTATCAGCATAGGCAAGTGAAATAACTCCAGAGTCTCAGGTACTCTTCTGAAAAATAAAGCCAGTGTTAGTCCCCATGACCTAGAGATTTGAGGATTAAATAACACTATCTGTGTAAAGTCTTTGCACAATATCTGCCATATAATAATAGCTTACCTTTATTTAATGCTTACCAAAGTGAGATCCTAGATGTAGACCATCTCTGCTTTTTAAAAGTTTTTATTGCTACACATCCTCTGAAATTAAGCATCCAGGAAAATGAAGGCTAATGAAGAGATAAAGGCAATGCAGGCAGCTGGTACAGAGAACAGTGGGACGATGCACTTTAGATTTACCAGGTAGCATCCACACGGCATCCATCTAGTTTGTCAGTTTAGCGTGAAGCAGTCAGAGCCAGGTTTAGGTTAGGGAGAATCTGAACCTGGAAGAAAACCCAATATATTCTGGCTCAGCAATCTTACTCTGCAAAATCAAGACACTCTTGAATTACAGAAGTGCAGAAAGAAGTACTTGCCAGTCCTTAAACCATAGTCAGTCTTTAATGTTCACCTAAACATCCTCTTCAAATACAGCTCCCTTCAAATATGTATTTCTCATCCCCACAATTTTTTATACATATAGCTTTCATGCTGCATTTCAGTTCTTATAAAAATGTATCATAAATAAATAAAAACGATGTCTCCCTGTATTTTCATTTTGGTGACCAAAAAAAAGAAGAAGGCCCCACTGATGTACTTCCTAATACCATGTGAAAGGAAGTAAAACTAAGTAAGACCATAAAACTGGCTCAGATTTCTTTGATTATGACCATGTGGGCAGATAGTGTATAAAACAAAGTAGATATTATTTGATTCAGAAACTCAGAAAGCTCTTGGATTTAGTGAATCCCATATCCCTTTTCAATATTATTGGATAAGTAATATATGTAGACTTAAATTTCTACATTTTAGAAGACACACATGAAACAGAGGCTGCAGTCATTGGAGACCTCCACATGCCTCTGTGCTGGCTGTCCTGTTATTTGTTACGCTGTATCCTTCAGGGTATTTGGGGTACATCTCAGCTGGAGTTTGGTGTACTAAATAATGAGGGCAATGTCTGGGTGCTCAGATAAAGCAGGGTTTTGAGAAACCTTCAAGAGAGAAATCAGTCTTAACCAGAATTTTTATTTGAGCTGGCCGAGAGGAAAGCAAGATGAGATTATCAGTTCATAATATTTGTTTGACTTTATCTTCCATTTTTCCAAGACAACTTTACAAAATATAAAAGAAACCCCCAAATACTCATTTTGTTTTCCATTTCAATAGGCATTAAGACTTATACTCTGTATGAAAGTAACAAACTCTCTTTCCACTTCTCAAATAGAGGTTCCAGAAATAAGAATGCCTCTTTCTCTCTCCCTCTTCCTTTCGCTCTTCTTCCTTCTCTTTTCCTTTCCTTCCTTATTTTCTTCTTCCCTCCCTTCCTTCATTTCTTCTTCTTCACTTCTTTCCTTCCTTCTTTCCTTCCCCTATCCCCCACTCTTTCCTTCCTCTTTCTTCCCTTCCTTTCTAGAGAATAGCTCCTTACTTTCAGAAACAGTGTTTTGGATTTTAGGAGATTTATTTAAAAGAAAACAGTGCTCTTTTGTTGGTGGTGGGAACAGGAGTCCAGTTTTTTCAAGCCAGTGCTGCATCTCCTTCACTAAAAAGACAATGCTTTTCCTATGACAGCTTAATTTATTGCAGACTCATTGGCATAGAAAAAGGGAAAGAAGCACTGGATGATGAAGGGAGTGGAGTTGACTAAATAATTTTCAATATGTAAGTGCTTTACATTGGGGAGAGAAAGATTATTTTTTATTCTTTCTCTGATAAGATGTATTTTCCATTAACAAAGGACCTCTCTATTTCTTCATGTTTTCATGTTCAAACACAGGTAAAATATTTCATTGCAGGAAGAAAAGTGGCTTACCTTTATCAAGCTGAAGAGTCACATTCAACAATCTGATTGCATGTTGCAGTGTGTAAAGGATGTAATTAAAATATATTTTTACATAATTGTTAGGGCATGGCAATATGCACCTGCTCTTACTGACATATACAAAAAAAAAAGAAAGAAAATGTCTTCTCTGTCCAAAGGTTTTATCCAAGCTTCTCAAATTTCAATGTGCATAAAGGTCACCTAGAGATCTTGTTGAAATGCAGGTTTGTATTTATGAAGTTGGGGCAGTGCCTGAGATTCTGCATTTCTAAAATGCTTCCAGGTAATGTCAACACTGCTGGTTCATGGACAGCACTTTGAGTAGCAAGGAACTAAGATGACTTCATGCCAGTGAGGATTCCCCTTTTGTAACTTCATCCTTTTGTTTGCAGCTGTGGTGATGGTACTAAATAGCATGAGTGTCAGCTGGAGTGCCCGGATCCAGATTTTCCTAACCTTTTGCAAGCTCACAGCAATTCTGATAATTATAGTTCCTGGAGTTATGCAACTAATTAAAGGTATGGACTGAAAAGTAAATGCTTTTTAAAATACATACCTGCTTTTGGTCTCTTCTAACATTAACTTTCACTTGTACTAACAGAATCCCTTAATTAGTCTCTGCTTGTGAAACTTAGACTCTATACTGTCATCTAATTGATTTGAAAGGTTGCCACATTACGGATGAGTTGGTGTTTACAGCTGAATGGCAACAAGAGGATTAAGACGGGACCAAGCAACAAGATAAGGCATCAGTGATTCCTCTCTGTAGAAATGCTGGTGTGAAAACCCAGAGTGGAAAAAAGAAAATCTGCCATTAGTTTCAACTACAGATAACTAAGTCCTCTTATAGTTACTTTAAAATAGTTCAATAATAATACAGATTAAATAGGAGAAGATATTGGGGAAATAATGAAAGAGGATCAATAATTCTTTTACTTTATGGTTATTGTTCCTTTTAGTTTGGGAATAGAATTTTTGATAGACAGGGTGTCAGACATGGGAACAGTATTTCTAAAAACCAAATATTACCTGACAACAAAATTAGGTGTAAAAACTAAAAATTTATTATGTTATTTTTAATGTAAAATCTGCATTTCTACAGAAATGTAATACCATATTGTGTATTTGCCTTAGAGAGTTGACTAATAAGAAAAGATGAGGCCTTTGAGTAGGTGATATAATTTAGAATTTTAGTTGTTTAGGGAAGAAGACACATGTAATTGCTTGAACTCAGTGGAAATTGTTAGAAGGAGGTCCAGGTGAGTTACCTTATTATCAGTGGGCTCACTAGCAGAAAATAAATGGGAAAGTGAGATGAATTGTGAAGGAGTGATGTGTAACTTGGGCATATTAAGTATGTAATGTTTACATTGGTATTGTCTATTCCAAGAAATTTCTATAGAGATTTAATGAAGTTGCCAGAGAAAAATTACACAAAGCACAGGAAATGTCAAAATTCAGCAAAATAATCACTTATCTTGGAAGCATTAAATAATAACAAACGTGGAAAGACCTGTCACTCTGTAGCTCAAGAAAAAGTGCTCCTTTGTCCATTTAGTAAGTCTGGTGGGAGGTCTCAGAACTCTCTCTGCTAAATGTTTGCCTAAAATCCAGCAACCTCAGCGAACTCAAAATAAACACAATAAAGAATTTTAGTGCGATACTTACACTGAAGTGAAGACATGGGCTCACTATTCTAATTCACATTGACCTCCACAAACCTGGCCTGCTCATATTTTATCCAACCCATTAGAAATACAGGGAGAATAATCTGTTTTGTTAGTGCTTTTTTATTTTATGGGCTAACTCTTTAGTCTTCTGTATGGAGTTGCTTCCATTTTCAGACAAGGCAGAAACTCTGGGTCATTGACCCTACTTAAGTTATAGTTTAAGTTCCAAAACATGATATGGTATCCTTGAAGATTCTTTTCTCTCTTATTTTGGCTGTAATGTAAGACTACTCAATTTTTACCACTCTTTTATATATGTGTGTGAGGCGAGGTTGTTAGTATGGCGATATAGCCACATGCACTGTATTTGAGAGCAGAGGTCATGATACATCTGCTGATCTTCTTTGGTACTTAAAATAGAATGATCCTTTAATTAATACTTATGATGTTAATGCTTAATGTGACCAGGCTTCTTTATATATCTTACTTAGTAGAGAAATGCCCTGAGAGCACTATCACAATTAAAGGAAATTTTAATATTTTGGAGAGCATTCTTAGCAGGTATTAATTCTATTACTATAAAATGATGATTTTTATCTCTAACTTAATCACATATATTCACATTAACTTGAAACTCAAGAGAAAAACTTTCCTAACACAGATTGTGCATTTATTTCTACTCTAATTACATCCTGAAAATAGTTGTATGTTCTGTATCTACTTAGAAGGATTTATTAAACTTTCCTTTGAATTTCATGACTTTCATCTGAGACCTCTATTATGCAGCCAAAAATTCCTGAAGTTTAGAAATGCCTCTCTTTTGTAACACTCTCATAATGGTGCTTTTTGGGATTGATGCCTTGGACCCGGTCTTTACAAAGTTTGGTTTTTACAAAATTTATTGATTGTTCAGTGCTGCACTCTTAGGGATATTGTCCTTAAGGCCAAGGAGACCACAGATCGTGATAAAAGAAAGTTCAACAGACATTTTTATCTGAGTTTCAGTATTTATATTCTCCTTCTAGAGGGCATAGAGCTGTTCTGGTAAAATGGATATTTTTGAATTTACAGTCTCATTTAAAAAAAAAGAGCTATATTTGAGCATTGGATGCTGTGAGAGAAAAATCATCTAATGTGAAACTCAGCATTCTCCATTTTTGGTTTTATGGCTCACACATAGTATATTGATATATATATGCTGTTGTCTGGGCAACTCAGGCAACAACCTGAGGTTGGAGAGAAGAGAGAGGGTCTCCCAAGTGTCACCCACCTCCCATTCCCCTTTTATTTACTTATGTAAAGACCAGTTTTGAAACAAAATCTCATTCCCACTTTGATTAATCTCATTTGCTATTTTCTTTGGGAAAGAAACTCTTCAGTGCTTAACTTTGACTATTGGCTGACTAGATCTGCCTTTCTATATTTTTGTAATTATCCAAAAGATTACAAGGAAAAGGTGATTCACAAAGTAGAGAAAATGTTCAATCTACATGTTGATGCAAAAATTTTATAACCTATCTCTTTTAGAGTCAGTATAATTTCCTTTTCAGTATTTCTAGAAGGAAACTCTGCCATTCTCTAGGACAGGGTCAGTCAATTCTCTGTAAAGGGCCAGATAGTATTTTGAACCCTGCGTACCATATAGTCTCTTTCACAAGTACCCAACTCTGCTGTTGTAGGGTGAAATCAGCCAAAGACTGATAGTGTTGGCTGTGATGGTAGACAGGTGGGTCTGACTGTGTTCCAGCAAAACTTTATTTACAAAAGAAGCTGTTTCAGGGACAGATTTCAGGGACAGATACCAAACCATGCTGATATCTAATGGACTAACAGAGGAAGCAGACCACAAAAAGAAAGTTAAGTGATAGGAAAAGGTGGTTCTGGTGTTTCTTGCCATCTCCTCATTGAGAGTAGACCCATGGATATTTCTTCCCAAGTATTACATTATCTTAATTTTAAAGAACTCTATCATAGTTCTATGAACTATAGTTTACAGAAAATCTTTTGTGTTCTTTCATAGTCAAACTCTGTCAAGAGAATAGTCATACTCAAATAGATTTAAAAAAATGTTTTCTTCTTTGCTATAATTTTATTAGAAGAGAAATGTGAAGTAGTATTAGTGGCGATCAGTGTAATGTACTTTTGGGACTCTTTCTCTAGAATGAATACAGTATTAATAGACAAACTTGGCTATGATCAGAGAGTGAGAAATCCAGACCTGAACAGTACAGCTCATCCCTAGCCCTCCCCTTCTCTTCCCATGTTTATGCTTAAAGAATGAATAATAAGCAATGCTTTGAGAAGTCCTAAAATATTTCTGTTCTCATTGCAGGGCAAACACAACACTTCAAAGATGCCTTTTCAGGAAGAGATGCAAGTATTATGGGGTTGCCACTGGCCTTTTATTATGGAATGTATGCATATGCTGGCTGGTAAGTTGGTATTTCTAGATTTAGTGATTTGTATGGCTCATTAGTGCCTTCGAGGACTTCAAGCGCCAAGCAAGGTGCCAGGCAAATGCAAGCAGCCATAGTCCAGTGTGATATGCTTAACTTGAAGAAAGATGGTATGACTCCATCTACTAGGCCAGTTACTGTACACATGACCTAATAAAAATATAACTGAGTTTTTCAGTCAAGGTGACTACTAGATTTAGCCTGATGTTATAAAGAACAAACAAATAATGGTCATAAGAACCAACACAAATGATTTATAAGTGTGTATCAGTAAGGACATAATAGTGCCATAAGAAATTAAAGATTAGTATTTTGCTTGTCAAAAAGACTTACAGCTGAAGCTCCAAATATGTTTACAAATAGTGATTAATTGATTTTTTCAACCTTCCCATGAGAAAGAAAGAATTCAGATATAGAAATAAGAAAGCTGTTTCCAGGAGGTAAAATGGTACTTTATAGTCAGGGAAGGGGAAAACCAGATAATGGAATTGGGTGTACTACATGATCTGCTATATTTTAAAGGACCTTACAAATTTCTTAAAATTTCCTCAATATTTGAATTCAAAATAGGCAGCTAAGATGATCAAAATCACTATGTCATGGGTAAATTTCCTTTGGTGCATGTCCAACTGTGATATATTTCTGGTTGACACATTAGAAGTTTGTATGTATACCTTATTTTGTTTGGTAATTTAAATAACAATAACCAAACATAAGAGAGGGATTTTTTACCCTAATAAAATTTTACTGATTTAGTAAGATTTAGTTGAAGCGACTGTTGCAAGAAAGCCCATTAAGTGGAAAAGCATTATTTAAACATCACAATCATTGTAGTAAAATTAATTTTACTGTTTTATAGTAACTAGGAACAATATTTCTTTTTTTTTATTTATAGAGCTAATAGTTGTACAGCTCTAGCTGTGAGAGTATTCTGTGAGCCTAAAAATAATATCAGGATACTCCACTGGCCAAAAATTATGTAAATGCATTGCAAACAGAAATATAATTTCCATATGTTTTTTTAGTTTTTAGGGCCTTATCTTTAAGGCAATGCATGGAATATAAAGCTATATTTCAAATTAAATGGAGTATGTGCCACATTAATCTCAGTAAATTATAAAAATATAGCATAGAAGAGAATTAGGAGAGTACACAAACTCAAAAAGTTTTAACATGGTTTTTGAAGCAAAATACATTTGGAAGTCCTTCAAAGATTGTAGCTCCAAGGAGTCTAGCATAAAATATTTGTATATTTCAGGAATATTTTTATAGCCGTTATGTATAAGTATTAATCTGGAATCACAGTAGTTTTGAAATCTTTTTATTTCTGTCTGAAACACAATGTAATGCTGGGCAGAGAAAAGAACAGAGTTGTGATCACAGGGTTAGTAGCTGAATCAACTGTTAGAAAAAATCAACTATTCAGCCTGAATCTGAGCTCTGGTGCCCTGGGGGCTGTAGCCAAGCTACTGGGAGGGTCACTGGAGATGCCAGAATGAAGTGGGGAGGTGACAAAAGCTTTCAGCTAGAGCCAAGTGTTGGGAGCTCAGCTATATTCAATCAGGAATGTGGAATGTGGAGATAGTCACAAGGGAGATTTGATTAATTCTGTTGAATGAAGTTTCCTTTGCCTGTGGGTACCATGCATTTATTCCCACAGAATATTAACATATTCTTCTACTCAACTCAGTCTCCCTCTACCAGCACTGAATATTCAGGTCACCTGCATTACGTAGAGCAAATCTTCTCCACTTCCATAGGCTTTTGAGGACTCACAGATTTCTACATGTATAAACATTCCTTTCATTTGAATTATCTTAATACTTAATTTTACTGATGCTGAAGCCCAAATATTACTTTTGTTAAAATGACTAAAAAGGACAGTTTAGGTGATACAAACCTTATTTAATACTTCATGAAGTAGTGCAAGAGTCTAGAGGACTGCAAAATGGATTGGAAGAGAGGAGACTTTTACAGGATAAAGAATAAGGAGCAAGAAGAGAAAAATAGAAAATGAACAAGAGATAAGAAAATAAGTACAAAGCAGAGTCGCTTCGGCATTTAATGATTGAGAGGCTTTATCCTGGGCCTAGAAATTTATTCCAACACTTTGTTTACATGGAAAATGGGTTTACATGAACCTTTATTTATACTTTTACCCATATAATCCACTCCCTATTTTAAAGGACAGGAACTATTGACTGTCTTATATTCCTGAGGGTTCATAGGATAGGAAATTATGACCAGGATTTTAAATGGAATCTAATCTTATGCAAGTAGCTTATCTAGAGACAGGTAAGTAACTGTGTTTCTGTAGCAGGTTGTTATGCTACCTGAGTGAAGCTTTGTGGATAGGCAGAAATAATATGGTTGTTGATCTATGGCCATCAGTCTTAGAAAAAAGAAGCTCTATTTAAAAGAAATAGTCTATTGGTTTGGAGTTTCAGAGGAAAAGTTAACATCTGGATGCAAATGGAACAAGATGGAGAGTAAAAAGTTCCCAGAACTGGTATTTATTCGCTTTCAAAATGATATCCTGCGTCTCTGACCTCTGTCTTTCAGGACATAATCGCAAGACCAGGTTGTGGCATCATAAATGGGGTACTGTGAATTAGCCTCCACTCCAAAGGCTGCTGCTGTGACAGTATTTGATGCCAAAAAAAAGTGTGGAGGGCATTGAAAATAAGTAAGACAAAAGCAGCTATTGTCATCAGAACTTAACCACCTAGGGTGTAAATAAAAGCAGCAAGACCTCTGTTGTCCTGGAGATCTTGCTCCGTTACCAATCCAGCTCCTACATGTTGAATAGGAAAAAGATGTTGCCACATTTTGTATCTGAATAGAGTAGGCATTTGGCTATGGAGAGTGCAGAACTTTTTGAGACTGATGGAAACTCTTTCACAGAACATGATCAGGGGAGAAGAAATCATTAACTAAGCTAGGCCACAGAGTTGGGTCAGAACAACTTTGATGTTATTGCCAATGTTGGCATTCAGAGCAATATATCTGCTGGACTCCCTTGTGGCCCAGGGGAACTCAACCAATTTCAGTCCTGTATCCTGATCCAAAGCTAAATATTGCTTGGTGGGATTTTTCTTAAAACTATATAATAGAAAATAGTTTTTCAGTGTCTTTTTTCTCTCTTTTAAATCCTATCCTCAATGGATTTAGTCCTTCTAAAGCACCTGCTGGGATTATTTTGTACCATTGTGTTAAATTTAATCTAAAGAATAAGCTTCTTTTTAAAATAATTCACGTAGTTGGGTACTGGAATGCATTGCCAGCTCTGCAGTGCCTTTTATACACAAACATGGAGGAGCTGGAACATTGTCTAGAGGCCTTGAGGAGGTATAAAGCAAAGACGATGCTGTGGACTCATTGCTGGAGAGTAGGAGAGCATAAAGATGTATTTTCCCACAGGATGTGAATGTTTGGACAAAAATAAGCTTTCTCCTTCCTGCCTGCCATCCAGCCCCAAACCCTTTCCTTTTCTCTATTCTCTGGAGCTATGGCAAATATTTGAAATTGTGTTATTTTTCATAAATATTTCCTTCCTTGCTTTAACATTGTTGGAAAAGACCAGTTTCTAAAACAACTGTTAAGAAAGAACTGGCTATTTTTGACACAAGAGGTCTGGAAATATTTCTTTGTTTGTGTGCATGTGTTTCTGCATTTTCTTCCTGTGTTTCCTTGGGTTTATAATAAACACATCAAATCCCCCAGAGCGCATATTCCAGATATAAGCATTGGTTGTTGCTTTCCTTCTTGGTGTAACTATAACCTCTATTTTAAGGAACTTATTTTCTAGTCATTAAAGATCCTTGACTGCTAACTTTTTAGATCACCTTAATTTCTACTGCTCTCACTTATTGAAATGTTTTTACTTAAAGCATAGTCCTTCAAATATTAGACACTATAACCTTGTTAAAAGATAAACTAGGCATATTAAAATTGTTGAGTTTAGTTGAGCAGAAATCAATTATTGAATTGGGCTGCATCCTATCTAACAGGTTGAAAGGAGTGCTGAAGAGCTGTACAAAATGAGAAGACTTTTACAGAGAGATGGTAGTGGGAAAAAAAGGAAGTCATACTAGACAAGAAAGGAATCCATAGTAGGCAAAAAACCTAGACAAGTGTCCAGGACTTGGGAAATAGTTACACTGGGCAAACAAGTAGTGTGGCAATGTCATTTTCACTTAGGGAATTGCAAGGGTCTGTGAGGCAGATTACCTAACTAGTACTGATCAGACAATTCTGATTAACTGGTTTAAGATTCCATTTTTGGGAGAGCTGAAACTGTAATTAAGTCTTGGTTTGGTGATGTGCGGCTTATGCAACTCCATTTTGGACCCATTGTCTTGTTTTTAACGACCAAACATCAATTACCTACTTGAGGTAGAGCAGGGACATGGAGAAGCATCACAGTTAATGTTTCCTGTCTATGATGAAAAATGCTGAGATATAAATAGTATAGTAAGAACAGGAGGGAGTCCATCTTAAGGCTAAGATTCTGTTTTAAAAACCAGGGAGTTAGGAGGTAAGATTCCTAACATACTTCATGTTAATTAGCCAACAACCCCTATCTTAAGGCCAGGCGAGCAGTCCTAAATGGATGTTCCTACTTCTTGAGGGTAACTGCTATCTAGGAGAAGAACAAGATCACTAAATTCCTTGTGTTAAGTTTATTTTACAGAGTTTCTAGAGGACTGACTATAGGGACAGTGATAAAATGTCTCTCACTAGAGATAGACATCATGAAACCACAGTCAAGCCTGTGCCCCCTTGGCCCTTTACCCCATTTTTGAAATCCTTAAAAGACATAGAACCCTAAGCCTTTAAGCGTGCCTCATCTCTTAGGTTGCCCATACTGCCCTTTCTTCAAGTGTGTACTTAGCCTTAAATAAAGACTTCTTCCTGCTCAGATGACTGAGTTTTTGTCTTGGTGCTCTTCCAAGCCTCTCAGGAGATTAATAAGAGACCCCTTTTCCTGGTGATAAGCATTTTTATTACTTTGCCATTTTATTCAATTTTCTAGACTTAAGCACAAGTCTTTACTCTTCTGTTCTATTTCAGTCAAGTAGAGAAGGGCTACTAAGGTCTCTGATTTGGACTTGCAAGTTCCTGTTGCCTGGGTGACCTGGACAGGACTGCTGCTGTATGATGATGCTCTTTAGCAGCCTGCCTGAAAATCTCCTTTCTTTGTTTGCAAAAGTTCTCAGAACATAATCTCACTCTATCCAGGACTTTGCAGCTCCCTCATATCCTGGGTAATTGGGGCTTAGTTCCCATGCTGTGCAGATTCAAGTGGACACTGGACATCAGGTGGCCCTGGCTTAAGAGTCTGCAGGAGATCTGCCCTGTGCCAAGCAAGAACTCAATAACCTCTCCTTTTGTCCCTCTGTCCTTCCTTGTTCTCCACTGCCTGTATGGCTGCTGTTCATTCACTACTGCTCTTGCTTTAATGAATTCCTTCCTTACCTACACCTGTCTGACCTGTTTGTGAATTCTTTCTTAATCAGAGTCAAGAACCCTCCCCTGAACAGGTTGAGATTTCACCAAGTGTGCCAGGGGAGAGCTCCCCAGATGTAGCTGCCTGGCAACACTATTGTGGCAAACACAATTTTGATGGATTTTTACAAAGGTGGAATAAGTGAGGTTTTCTTCATCTAAGTTATGAAATAGTTTAAGTGTATTAAAGACTGATGGCCTAATATTCCAGCCATTTAGTTTTAGAACATAGGGAATTTGTGCCTATAGACTCATGCCTCTGTGTACCTATATAATGGCTATTTTATCTTCTAAGGTATAATAAGAGAACAGAAGAGTACTGAAAATGTGACTTTTTAAGTAATTTTGTAGAAATTTCCTAAGCCTACGAAATGAAAAGGTAGAAAGGTTTCAGTCTTTATATGTTTAGCTCTTCCCATTATGATCCCTTAGTTTTCCCATCTTCATGATCCAGTTATCTATCCTTATTTGAGGATGGAGGCTGCCTCAGTTTTACATCACAGAAACTTCAGAGAGAACTACAAGGGCTTTAAAGGATCTCCAGCAGTCCCTTTGACTAGAAAAAGAAATCTAGGGTCCAGGACTGTAGGCATTCCCATGTGGGATAGGTAGAGTCACAAAATGAAGGAAAAGAATCTGAACTTCTCTAGGGTCATGACCTTAGGTTAATATTTGCAATCTCATGGAACTTGAAAGTGAAATATTGTGTTCTAAGGATGCTTCTTGTCATGTAGAAAAACCAGACAAGTTTTCAGGACTTGGAAAATAATCCAAAATGTTCTGCTAATGTAACTAATGATCTTGCAACGGTGTCCAAATTAGCAGCCTAGACATGTAACAAAGAAAAATAGCAGGATCATAGTCTTGTGACATGAGGTTATTTGGCTGAGATGCACATGGGAAAACAGTGAATTGAAAGGGAAAAGTGAAAATTGAGAATTGATTATCTCTTATCCCGCTTTTGGTTCCTACTTGCTTCTGTTTTTAGAGCTAGGAAGTCAGTTCCCTGACTTCTAGAAATGCTATTGTCATACATCTATTGCTCTACAAGTTTTGACTGACCTATCATCACTGCTAAAATAGGGATTCCCACAAGCCAAAGGCCATCTTGCACTTAAATTCTGTTCTCACTACTCTGACCACACTTTGTGCTGCAGAACACTTAACTGTTTCACATACCCCTGTGCATAGCACTCTGCCATACCCTGTGCTCATGTACTATAGTGAGTCTGGAATGTCCTTGTACCACTTCATCAGGGCTAATGTTAAGCATTTTTGAAGATTCAGCTTAGGCAAGTCTTGCCTCCTCTAGACCTGCCAGTCTGGGTTAGACCTCTCCCTGGCTCCATGGTTCCCTATTACATGCTCCATCATGCACCCCATATTGTATCACACTATTCTTCAGACCATTCTATAAACTATGAGCTACTTGAGAAAGACCATGGATTTTCCACTCCCATTTCCCCAGTGACTGACACACGGTAATTTCATATGTTGCTTGTGAAAACGTAAAAATGGTAGAAAGTAGTTAGGCAGTAAACATATATCTATGCTATGACCAGTGATATATTCTGAGTATATACCCAAGAGAAATGATTGCATGGTCCCCAAAAGGACATGTACAAGCACATTTATGGTATCTATATTCATAGTAGTTTTAAATTGGAATTAATACAAATGACTATCAAAAGTAGAATATATAGTGTTACATTCATACAATAAAAAGTAACAATTACAAATAATGAATTACTGCTACATATGGCAATATGGGTTAGACTCACAAAAGTAAAGTCCAGCGAAAAAGCTAGGTAAAAAGAATAAGTATCATGTAATAGTGCATAAGTCAATTTTAGTCTATTACAATGAAACAAGCAAAATTAATCTGTGGTAATAAAAGTCAGAACAGTGGTCACCTTTACAGGAGGGTGGAAGAGATGGTATGGATTAGAAAGGGCCATGAGAGAGCTTCGCAGAGTATAGAAATATTTTAACTTTTGACCAGTTTGTTGGTTATATACAATTATGATATGTACAAATTCATCATTATACATTAAGATAAGTGCAATTTGCTGTTTATATGCTATATCTCTATAAAATTGTTAAGAAATGAAAAGAATACCCTAAATATGGTTTAATAGGAAAACTTCTTGTTGTCAGAGATTTTCATCTAACTGTAAGTATTTTTTTTATAAAATTTTAGTACTTCTGAGTTTAAATATTTAAAATTTGAAATTTTGGCTTGTAATCCTAAAATACATTAATAACTTGTAATTCACTTATATCTTTTTAGGTTTTATCTCAACTTTGTTACCGAAGAAGTGGAAAATCCTGAAAAGTAAGTAGCCGCATTTATTCTTAAGTATTTATGAGGAAAAAAGATATAAAATTATATAGTTTAAAAAGTCGATCTAAAGAAGAAACTCGGTGTCGGGTAATCACCTTTGCCATCACCGTCATTGCCATTCTCTTAGACAGATAAATTTATTTGATTTTATCATAAATTAGACATAAGTAACTTTATTTTATATTCTACATTCATACTAAATTTTTTGATAAGCTGAAAGCACAAAAGAATAAGGCTGCATTTTAGATAACCTATTTCATTAAAGCACATATACAACTTAACAGGAACTCTCAGTTGCCTACAAATGTTCCATAAGATGTGAACTCTGAAAGTTGATTATTTCTAATAATACAAATTTTTTCATAAATATAAAATTAAAGACAACAATATAATTAATGAACAATTAGTTATGAAAGCTTAGAAATAATTGCAGAATATTATAGGAACTTGTAAATTTGGGGAGCTGGATGATCTGATGATGATTTTTATAATGTTTCTAAAATGAACTATTTTTAACTTAGAAATGATAAAACTGAATTACTTTTTATGATTTGTATATAAACATTTGACCTTACATAGGAAAACAACATAATCCATGGACAAAAGAGAAATTTTAAGAAGTACAATATAAAATACAGGCAGAATTAAAGTTATTTAATTCATCTGACTTTTATTAAACACTGACCATGTTCAAGCTATTGTGTTAGGAATTTCTTACATAATGAATAAGACTTCTGTTCAAGATTTTATTGTCTAGTCAATAAGTCGAATGTGTAAATGCATGTAACATGGTGTGGCTGATCCTATTACAGATTCCTTACCCAGCTTGACAGAGAGGAAAGGAGGAAATACTTAACTTTATTTAAGGGGAATGTTTTGTACATAGAGTCTGATTTGATGAGTAGATGTTTCTTAGGTAATAGGAAAAAGAGACAGACAGACAGATAGAGACAGAGAAAGACAGAAAAAGGGAGAAAGGAACACGTCCATATGAAAAAGCCTAGAAACTGGAGAATATGCCTTAGGGATGATGAATTGAATTAGGGTAGACTAAAAAATTCTGGCAACAAGTATTTTGGTAGAGAGTAAACTGATTAGATTTGGCCAAGTACCAGGTTTGTCAGAATTTTGAACATACAAACAGCAATTAAGGTTAAAATGACGCTTTATACTATATGATTCAGCTATTATGCAAATAAGTATATAATTCAAACACGTAAGGAGATTATTTTATTGAGAAATAGAGTAAATTTATGACAATACTTTCATATCTATAACTGGAACTGTGGTAGAGAACATATGTTTACCAAGAACTAGTTCTTTCTAGCATGACTTTGAAATTACTTGCTACTTTATGACTCTAAGTAAATTGATTACAAAGATAAATGGGCTGTCCTGTTTGCTGTCTTTTTCATTTTCAAGAATAATTAGTGTGTAAGTGGCACCACAAAGAAATGACTGTTCTTACTGGATTTTATGTAAAATATTTCTCGAATTCCCATTGTGTGAGATTACTGTGTTTAAGACTGTCTCTTTTAAGTCTAAAAACATTTTAAAGAGATCATTTACTAAAATCTAATAGCAGAGAATATTTCTTATGAAGAAATGGCAAACTGTAGGTTTGTGGCTGTGACCTATAAAATAATGTTTATTATATGGCATATCAGTGACATAGATATAGTTCCCATTCTCTTATAATTTCATTTAACAGTTTAAGCATAGCTTTCATTGGCTATATATACAGTACTACTATGGTGTACATTAAGCATAGTTTTAAATCATTTATGCCATTATTACCCTGATCTGAATTTCTGATGTATTCTGCCAAAGTGGTAGACCAGTTAAGGATTCCTTTTCTTCCTTAATTTCTTTCTTTCTTTCTTAATTTAAGGACCTTAGGTTGACACACTGATAATTACCATAACTCAATATATACAAATACTAACAACAGTAATGTATTGACTCAGTGAATTTTTTGTTGTTATTGTTATGAAGAAATTTCCTAATCTCCAAAGAGTGAGGATAATATAAGATCTAATAATAGAACCTACCTCACTGGGTTGTGGTAAGGAGTTAACATGTACAAAGTACATAGATTAGTGACTGTCACTTTTTAATCTCTGCATAACTGGCTGTTGTTACTATTATTATATTCATATCTTCAGAGGATGGTAAAATGTTACTCACATAAAAGTGTTTCCTAGGTTTCTATATCCTAAGAAATTATCTTTCTTCAGTGTTTTTAAAAGAAATAGGAAAAATTATTTTATACCATATTGAAGCCTGTTCTCTAAACTTTCAGTATGAAAATTAAATATCCATTTTATGGTCTCTCTAATTCTTGTGTGCAGATTTTATTGAATTTTATATTTAGAGAGAATATACTTGTATTTTAAGGGAAAAATATAAGATATAAGGGTTTTATAGTAATATAAAAGTTCCTATTAAAACTGATTTAGGTTAAGATTATTTTCACTGGTTACTTTGGATGAACCATTTTCATTTTCTAGAAATCACGATTCTGCAAACTTCATTATATATTCCTGGAATACTTTTAATTTGACATAGATTTTAAGGTTATATACTAAGAAACTTTTCAGGAGAGATTAGGCAAGAATCTCTAGATTTATTAATCAAGATAATGAATAACTGCTAAGACTTCTGTTGAAGAAAGACACCTCTGATACTTTTTTGTTCTTCCATACTAGGTACTCAAGATATTCAATTTTTGTATGGAGGATTCTGTGTAAAACTTAGTCAATACATTTATTTTCTGTTGAAGAAAGACACCTCTGATACTTTTTTGTTCTTCCATACTAGGTACTCAAGATATTCAATTTTTGTATGGAGGATTCTGTGTAAAACTTAGTCAATACATTTATTTTCTCAAAATCAGAATATAAGAAATCCACCAAAATCTCCTTAATGGAAAGTAAAGGTTAAATTTGTGCTATGCATTTATCAACCAGAGAAATTCAGGGCTTTGAGCAATTTATTCAATGTATTGATTTAAAAAACAATATATTCCTGCAATGTGGACTATGAGCCCAGGTCTTTTAAAATGGAATATTATTTTTTAAACACAGAGAATGCTTTGGGAAATATTTATTGTTGGGTATTGAGAACAGATGGTAAAATTATGTGGACCTAGTCCAGATGTGTAATTTGGATTATTTTGTGGGTAGGCACAGCTCCAAAATATCTTTGGTTACAGGGAGAATAATTAGAATGCCATCTCCTTTGTGACGTGCCCAGAGAAGTGTTTCCCGATCAATCACGGGTGTATGTGTCCAGGTGTGCTTCAGCAGCTGTGGGAAATGAACCACTGGCTGAAGATACAACTTTTACTATTCTCCTCCATCTAGGCAATAAAATTTTCCCCAAAGTGTGACCTAATTAGAAAAAAGTGATCATTAATTTAGATCAGTGTAAAGAGCAATGTGATTTAAAGCACCTAGAATGTAGAATAAGGCTTTGTGATCACAACCGACTATCCTTTACACAAAACTTAATTTCAGTGGTGAACTTTCATAGAGCAAGTACTTTGTGTTATGATGAGAACAGTTCCTTCAGTGTAGGAACAAGTGAGAGAGAAACTGGGAGGTTAATGGGATCAAATAAACTAGGTCATGACTTCTTTCTTCTATTAAGTATTACCAACTCTTTAAAGCTTGTAAAATACTAACCCTAAGATTTGGGGCAAAAATTCTTGTTATATGGTTATACTTGTAATGTTAGAAAATGTGCCCATGGTCTTCCTTATAATGTTTTCTTCTGTACCCATGGCCTTGGATCTGTAGAAGTAGCAATCCTTTAAGAGGCATTTAACATTTTTATATAAAAATAGTGTGTTTATCATTGAAATTGTGTGCTGATATAAAAATATTGCATTTAATAATTATCTATAGCATGGTGGCTGCTCCACAAGAGTAAGAATGACATTTTGAGGAGCATGAATGCCCCAAGTTTGGACCAGGGAGATGATAGAATCCCAAGGGACATCTGAATTTTAAAATGTTATCCCATGACCTCCCTCCCCAAGTAAAATGTGTAGCAGTAATTGCTAATGTGTACATTTTCTTTTAAAAATCAATGTATTTTATTTGCAAATATAATGAGTCTTAACTTATGACATTACTTTTGTGGTGACTGCAATCTGTCATTGTTCCAAAGTTAACACAGTGCAAAGAACATATCATTGAGATGTACAATGTTTGTAATCCTGTTCTCGGACTGATAAATCATGTCTTGTGCTGATGAAAGCCAAGGAATGAATTGCTTTGCTTTGACCTTGGGGGTCTGAAATTGGTTGGTTTGTCTATTAGACTTGTTCCTGTGTTCTTCTCACTTCATTTATTCCCTCTGTTCTGAGGAGTTAGAAATAGTAGACTGGGAGAAAGTCAGTAAAGCTTGATATCATCAGTCATTTTTGAAGAGCAAGCTATCAACATGCTCTGAGTAATCAACTTCAATAGAAGGTTTAAATAATCATAGTGTCATGTTTAATTAATACTTTGCCTGCTTTCAATTTATATTAATTGATGGCTGAAAATCATCACACCTTGTACCAGTGATAACTTAGAAGAAGAGAAACTTGCTTTGGGAAACATGCCCAAAGACCTTAAAGTCAGTGTGATTGATCAGAGTGGTCCATAAATTGTCCACAGTCACATTATTTGCATTCAGTTCAGATGTTGCAGTCTTAAATTTTTAGTATATGTGTTTTTATCCTTACTGGCTTGTATTAATCAAGAGTAAAGTCATTTATTAATAATATTATACCCTTTTATAAGGTCTATTGCTTATAGGACATATAAAACTGTTTATCAGATTAAAAACACAGTAAAAATCAAACGATCAAAAAATCTTGCCCAGATGTGCTGTACAAAGTTTCATGACAAAAGATTGACTTGAAGTCTTTTATCTTGAGTTTTGGCATTTTAAGGATGCCAAATCACCTTCTTTATATGCTTATAGCTTTCTAATTTAAC